TATATATACATATCCATCCTGCTTTTGTATTTTGTAAAATGGCTGTGAGATGACAGTCTTGAGGAGGAAACTAAATGAAAAAAAAATATTATTATTTATCTAATATTACTATTTATTATTTTCTCTCTTGTGAATTTTTGTTGGTTGGTTTTCTTTTCCTGTTTGTATGGGAGTCAGCACCAGGTTTTGTATTTGTTCTTTGTGTTTATAACTGATGTAAAATTGATAAAAATGAAAAAAAGAAAATAGCAACTGGAGCCACATTAAAAGGAAGTTTCACAATACTATTATAAAGTTATAGTGATGATACTGAAGCTAAACTTAAAAATTAACATTGTTTGTGTATTTAAGTGTAATGTTTTTAAAAATGCGTTGAATTTTGTGAAGTTGTACCTCCTGCGAAAAGATGTGTGAACAWGTTCCAACACATTTTAARTTTTAGGTATTTATGGGTGATGTAGAACAGTATGGTAATGTGGTAGTGCATGGTCATTATGTCATTAGAAAACTAGAGCGTCTGATTTAATAAGCGTTTAATCAGCCGACCCGGACTGTGAAATCCTCCTTGGGCCAACCCCTGAATTGAGACACAGCTCTGAGGTATTCCTGCCACATATTGTTATTTTAATAAATGCAGTTGTTTGCATTTTGCAGCTTTTTACAGTTCCAAACACCAAGTCATGAACTGCTAGGTCACAGCTCACAAKGAGACAAATGGTGGGAAAACAAAAAGCTGTGTAACTCCAGCCGCTGATTAACAGACGGGGAGGATTCACTCCAGGCGGAGGACAARAGTTCCCCCAGATGAAATTAAATTTTGAGCAGTACAGAAATGAAACTGCAGAGAGTAAAGTGCAAATAAAGCGTTTGACATTTAACATTTTAGTCTTCAGAGTGGAAACATGCTGCGATGTACAACAGTTTTACAGCCACAGTAAACACACCAACATGTACTCCGATTGAGCTCCTTGTTACACTACATTTTCAGTTTATTGTATGCTGATGAGAAACTAAAACGTTAAAAATGATCACTGTCATTTAATGCAGATTGAGTTTCATCACTAAAGAGGGACTGTTGACAACATATAGTTAACTGTAAACAGAGTCCAACAAGCCTTGGTCACCTGCTGCTGAAGAGAAAATTAAAATCTGCAGAGATGACCTCACCTCCTGCCTACATTAATTCCAGGAACACATTCGTTACAACAACCTCCCCTCATCACCATGGAAACAGCAGCTCATTTTATCACGAGCAGTGGATTGATGGGTAATGACTGCCGAAGTCCCTCTGTGCTTCAGTCACACAGCAAAGACTAAATATTGTCTCTGCTGGTGGAATAAACCACATCTGAACACCTGAACACATCCACTAATAAACACTGAAGCAGCCTGATCACTACTGCTCTGTTCTTCTTTCATTCGATGCTGAAAAAAAATTCATTAAAAAAAACGCTGAGTCAGCAACATAATCAGTTTCATGTTTTATTTTTTTCTGTTTTCTGCACTAYGTCTACAGACTTTCTGCCAGGCATAGATTAAAAATGTTCAGCTTATTCATCCTTCTGCTATTTTTAGATTCTTGCTTTCCTTTAGACCAGTGGTTCCCAAACTTTTTTTCTTCTGACCCACAAAATATCCATGGCAAAAACTTGTGACCCCAAATATTACTGATCTGAGTACATGAACTTCGTTAATAACCCTAAAAACACAGGTTTTTTAACAATCTAAACAGCTTGTACACAAA